CTGGTCCCCGAGGCTGCTGGTCTAAGCTGAAGGCGTGGATTTCTCTCGCTGGTTTTCAATTCTTTGGGACTTCAAAGTAGGATCGGCCTAAAAGTCTGGCATTTGGCATGGTGAACGACCAAGTACTGCCAAGCAAACATGTCCTTCGGTCCTGGATTCAGTCCCTGTGCTGTGGCTTTGCAGAACTTAGGAACTACGGGCTGAAATAGAAAGGGAGAAAAGGCTCTCACTTTCAGATGTTTTCAGAAAAAAAAGCCAAATATTTTCTAACAAGATGCCTTAGAAAGAAGCAGGTTGATTTCACAAGGCGAGAAGCACCCTAATACAGGGCACGCTTTGTGAGCTCTTTTTAAAACTGCCTTCCTACTTCCTGGGTGCGGCAGGATGATGGGCAAGTGTTTTCCTCTTCATTCTCTGATTCATTCATTCCCTTGCATGAAAGGCTGTGCACCTGCTGTTCCCTCGTTCTGGAGGGCCTCCCTCCAGTTCTCCCGGATAACTGAGATGGTGCTCCTGCCTTCCCTCAGGCGGCTCCTGAGCTCCCCAAACAGAGGGTCCCCTCCTCTGTCTCCATGACCCTCCTGCTGCCTATGCAGATGGAGGCCCTTACAAGGCTGGGGCTGTGTGGACTCCCATCTGCCCAGAGCAGCATGGAACTGAATCTGACTGAGCCGGGACATCTCGAGGGGGAGATTGGGACGGAGGAACCCGGAATCGGGCGGGAAGATCCTCCACCTACAGAGTCCTTGGGGATCTGGCATGGCACCCCTACCGCTCCCACCCCACCCCCAGCACAGTAGCCCCGAGTACCCCCAAGCTCCAGAAGGGACACCAGACTCCTGGCCCCAAGGAGGGCTCTGGAATGTGAGGGGCCAGGCCTTCTTCCTGGGCACCCCAGAAACAAGCGCTCTATTTGCAGTGAGGATGTTGGGACTCCAGGAGGCAGAACTGCCTGCCTTGAACTGCATTTCAGGGAAAGCAAACCCCCCTGACCCGGTATTTGGATTAGGGCGGGTTCTTCGGGCCTTTTGCTGTCTCCAAGTGCCCTCTGCTGGCTGCGGAAAAACAGACCTTTTAGGATATGATGTTTTCGAGCCGTGAGCTCAGATGCACAAAAAATTTCATTTTGTTTTTCTAAATCTCGATGTAATTCCTGTTATAAGCTCCCAATCAACTCAGGTAGCTCAGCATGACTTTCCTCCCCCACCAGCTTCTCCTCAGGTGGCATCTAGGTTCTGGCCAGAGCTGTGGGAGAGGCTGGCGTCACCTCTGTCCTGTTGGCAAGGCTCTTCTGGATGCACCTGCCCCTCTGCTCCCAGGCAATGTGTGGAGTGATGCCCACATCTGCCTGAGGCCAGGTACTCCGGGATCTCCTGGACTTCTCCACGGAGATGCCTCCGTGGCCGTTTCTGCCTCCTCACTGCTCCGTGCGGTCCCCGCCCTGCGATGGGGTGAGGTGTGGGGAGGGGCCCTGCGATGGGGGTGAGGCGCGGGGAGGGGCCCTGCAATGGGGGTGAGGCATGGGGAGGGGACCCTTCCATGGGGGTGAGGCGTGGGGAGGGGCCCTGGAACATCCTCACTTCCCCAGGCCCTGCAATGAGTTCATCCGTCCTTGGAGCCCCAAGCTCATCAGGGGCTTCTCCTATAACCTTGGTCGTGGCCCACAGACAGGGAGAGGAGAAAGGCCCGCACACCCGTTCAACGCTGGCATCCCTCTCCAACTCCCACCGCCTGGAGCATCTGCGTGAAGTCCTTGTCCTTTGTGCTTGGCACGCAGGAGTGGCAGATGAGAAGGCCGCGGAAAGAGAAACTTTCACCAACTCGATGCTTTAACAATTTAAAAATATATTCTTTCTTAAAGAGAGAGAGAAACTGGCTCCACAAGTTTCCTTCCAAACCTTTGGTCTCACACCAAAATGTACACTCAGCTTTGTCCTTCCTCATATTTGAAAAACAAGAATTTTATTATCTTTGTTTTCTGGTCTCATCAAATGCCTCTTTGACAACTTCTCCCTTAGGCCATGGTGTCCTCTGGTTGACCTTCCTCGGCTGGGAGAAGGGCTTGGGACACACATGAAGAAATTCGACACAGAACAGGGAAGACGCCCCAAACTACCGTAAACATCCTTCGGTCACACTCAGGAGACAGGGAATGCCTTCCAGGTTTGCAGAACGTGTGACAGTAGAGGGCATCAGAGGGCTTCCTGGCTTTTCAGATTAACTCTTTTTTCCTCCACTTTTTAAATTTTTTTTCTAAGTTTTATTCTTTACTTTTCCTGAAAACACTTCAAAGCGAATTGCAGACACCAAGCCCCTTGGTCTTAACCCTTTAGCTCCTGGGAAATAGGACATGCCCTTCCACATCCACAGTGCAATTACTGAATTCAGGAAGCTTCACACCTGTACAATTTCAGAAACACATGCTGTGTGTTCAGATTTCTCTGACGACTGTCCCAGCATTGTCTTCACTCCAGCAGCCAATTCAGATCACGAATCGCATTCGCTGGCTTGTCCCTTCAGCCTCCTCTAACCCAGAACAGTTTCTCACTCTTTGTAATGACACTGACAATTTTTTAAGGGACGGGTACATTGTTTTATAAGATGATAAATGTCCCTTGATTAGTCACCCTCATGATTCAGGTTCTGCATTTGTGGCAGAACAGCACGGCGTGGCGTGTGTCCCTCCCAATACATCTCATAACAGGAGGTGTCTTCCGGCAGTTTGTCCCATTTTGGGTAACGTTAAATTTTATGACTTGTTTAAAGTGGCCTACTGCCCAACAGAGGTGTCCACTGCGAAGATATCTTCCCCGCTTTGTAAATTAGCAAGAATTCTGTGGGAAGATATGAAGGTGTAAATATCCTGCTGCTTAACGGATTCTCACCCCGTGGTTTTCACACCCATTGTTGTCTGAATTAGTATTATGGCTGCAAAATGGTTGTTTTTCTGATTCTGCTGTCCCTTCTGTATCTGTCATTGACCTTCCTTCTGCTGTAAGGAAGGGCTTAGAGGAATGCATTCCAGGCTCCCCTTTCCATCCTCCCTCTGATTGGAATGCCTTTCCCACTTGGGAAACCCTAGCAGCCCAGGTCCAGGCTCAGCCTCCCTCTGCCCCTGCTGGGCAGTTAAACCACCCACTCTCTCTCTCTTCCCTTCAAGTAAGAGGGGCTGCAGCTGCCTGCCTTCTCAGAGCCCCTGAGACAAGGAGAGACTGGAAAGGGGAACCCCCTCGCACAGCAGAACCCCCACCCAAACTCCACCTGGTCTAGTGCGGAGGGCCTCAGACTTTGGTGCACACCAGAATCACCTTGAGGGCTTGTTACAACACAGGTACCTGGGCCCCAGATCTGGGATTCCAATGCACTATCAAAAAATCCTACTGGCTTAACAAGAAAGTTGTTTCTCCTCCAGGTTACATGGCAACCAGGTTGGCAGGAAGCTGTGGTCCACACACCTGAGGACTCAGGATAATGGAGACGCCACCACTTCAATACGTGGTTTGAAAGAGAGGCCACAGAGTCCTATGTGGATGTTCCTCTGCTTATTGCCCACTGGTCAGAACTAATCATGTGACCTGCCCGACTGCAATGGCTGGGAAATGGGGATCAGATGAATCATCTGCTGAGCCCCATGACTTCCGCCACCAGCACACTTCCTGCATCCGACCAGCCCCTGCCACGCAGGCCTCCTCTCTGTTCTCAAGGGCAACAAAGTGCTTTTCTGCCTCTGCACCTTCACACCAGCTGCTCTCTGTGCCGCAATGCCCATGCCAACTCTCACATGCTTCACTCAATTGCCCTCCCTGGAGAGGCTTCCTCAGACTGTCCAATCCAAAGCAGCCACCCACTCCTTCACACGCCCTGTTCTAATTCTCTGCGCAGCCCTTGTTATTCTACACCTGTGTTGTTCTCACACCCCCCGTGACAGCAGAGCCCGGCTCACTTGCTCAGCCCCAGCACCTGCGATACCTGGCACATGGGGGGTACTCAGAATACATTTACTCAACTATTAACTCTAAGGTGCATTACTGTTTTCATGTCACAGGTTAAAAAAAAATGGAGGACCTAAAGAGGATGCATGGCTCACCCAAGGTCGCACTGCCGCCAAATGGTCAGCACCTGACTTCAGACCCACAACACCACGTCTGACAGCAGCGTTTGTCTGCCTGATCTCACCGCTTGCAAGCATTGAGGGGGCAGAACGTTTTCTCCTTCTGTTCTCCTCACTCTTCTCCATCTGGTGGACCTCCACTGTCCTTGGGTGTCTCTTAGCCCAACGCTATGGAAGGCAGTTTGGCAACATCCATTTAGGAATTTACTCCACAGATGCGCTCACATATGGGATGATCACATACATGCAAGGTTTGTCACCGTAGCACTGTGACAGCAAAAGATTAGAATCAACCCAGTGATGCCAGGCACAGTGGCTCACACCTATCTCAGTGCTTTGGGAGGCTGGGGCAGGAGGATCACTTGAGCTCAGGACTTCAACATGGTGAGGCCCCACGTCTACAAAAAATACAAAATAAATAAAAATTAGCTGTGCATGATGGCACACACCTATGGTCCAAACTACTTGGGAGGCTGAGGCAGCAGTATCACTTGAGCCCAGGAGGTCAAGGGTGCAGTGAGTCATGTTTGTGCCACTGCACTGCAGCCTGGGCAATGGAGTGAGATCTTGTCTCAAAAACAAAACAAAACAAAACAAAATGAGTTATCCCAGTGACCATCTGTAAGGGACGGTTCATAAGGGTATGTAAATATTCACAGTGGGAATATACACTCAGTGGAATAGTACACAGCCCTGAAAAGTGAGGGACATCTTCAGAGTCTGATTGGAAAGTTGTCTAAGGTACATCATGTTGAAAGAAAGAAGGCACGTAATGGCATGTAAAGTATACGCCTTTCATTTAATTTTCTGCTAAACACTTTCAAGTCTTACATAATGAGATCGTCTCCTTGATGAAAAGATAAAAACAAAATACAAATCCGAATACCAGTGTGGTTTCCATCATTTGAACTTATTTTATTGATACTCATCAGCAAATGAAATTGTGCTGATTTCTGATGCATTACAACACACTTTTTGGTAGTGGTTGCACAATGGTGACTGTTTATTTACTATAGTAAATGTTGCAACCTCTGAACTGCCAATTTTTACATGATATTTCTGGCAATGACGAACGCCTCCTCTCTCTCAATACATAAACTGGTCCGTTCAGTCTATGATTTTCATATTCCTTTGTTATTCTACCTACTGCTTTAAAATACATTCAAATAAAAAGATATAAGTTACTTGCAGTGAGTGCACACATACAACAGTCAGGACAGCTGAGAACAATGAACCGATACTCTTGTGTTCAGAGAATAAATAGTCTGAAACCGTGGGACTGAAGCTTGTTCCTTAGGGGCTTTATCCTTGGCGGGCATGAGGTTACCCTCACTCAGTGGAAGGATGCATCTTCTGCTGGTGGGGAGGACACAGAGTGACAGTTTCATTTATGTGGGATGTTTTCCTTCCATAAATGTCTGGGGCACGGTGTCACGGGACCCCATGATGTACAGTGCAGCCCTCACATTAGAATCAGTAAGTTATGTGGTTGGACTGGGATGCCACAGACACACTATGACTGGAACTGGAAGGAAAGAGAATGTGTATTTAAAACACGGCAGACAGAAATAATAAATAAAAGTTTAAAACCGAATCGGCGACTGCAACAGGACCAGCCTCCTGGTTCTCTTCGCAAGCACCTGTGTCTTTTCCTAAGGGTCAAAAGTGGCACGGGGAGAAAAAGGCTTTGGAGGGAAAGAAAACACCTGCTGTGACCGTGTGCTGCTGTCAGACAAGAAGGCAGAACGTGTGGGCACTGAATGGCGTGATCGGAGACCGCACGGCGACCGCACCCCGGCCGGCCTCGGGTTCCAGAGGTGGCACTGGAGCCAGCGGAATGCCCAAGCCTTGTTGTCCCTGAAACCAGTTTGTTATGCCTGCTTGTGACAAATTGGTGTTGACAGATTTCTTTAATAAGCTTCTCCCCTATCCTTTTTCCTTTTAATCCTATTGTTAAAGGTGTCTTGGGTCTGGTCTTACATCAATTTGGTTGTGACACCGGGTCCCAGAAAAAGCTGCCATCTGTTTAGCGGCTTGGTGTGTTTGAAATGCATATTTGAACCACACAGACAACATACACTACCAGTACCATGACTTCCCTGCATATTAAAAAAAGGAAAAATAAAACAGATCACACAGAACACGGACGGGCTGCTGAACAACGCAGCAGGACCATAAATACATTCTCTCAGGTCGGACATCGGGCCTGACGGCTGCTCACAAAACACAGGATGACCTCAAGGGAAAGGCGTGAAAACAAAAGGTCACACCTCAGAAAAGAAACGACTGTCCACTGAGGCGGAGCAGCGAAGGTCTTCAAGAAGCTGGGCCACCCATAAAAAGAAAAGCCCTCCGATCAGCAAAGCCACGTCAGCCACACGTGGCTGAGGATGGAGGCTGCTTAGGCTCCTTACAGGGTGGGTGAGGCGAGGTGTTATGACCCGTGCCGCGTGACAGCTCGTGGTGTGCCAGCCACAGAATTCACCGGTTTCCTATCCATAGGATAAGAACACACTTGGGAGTTTCAGTGCTGCTAAAAGGAAAGAGGAAAGGACCCCACCTTCCCCCACGTGAGCACAGGTGAAGTCTTCGTGAGCGTGATGACAGTGCAGACGCGTTTCCCGTGGGATCTGAAGGAGCAGGGCGGACACGGGGTCTCCAAGTCCTATGTACACATTTTACAAAGTTTCCACTCTTCCTCCCTTAGGCACGAGGTTGATTTGTCTAGCTCAGGAGGGGGTGGACAGAGAAGGGCAGCGGGAGGGAGTGCGCCCCGGGGAGGAGCGGAGCGGGAGGAGGGCGCAAGGCAGGAGAACGTCACCTCCTCCAGGGCAAGCGGCCCCTGCGGTCCTCACCGTAAGCTAGTTTGTTTGGAGAGCTTAGCACCCATCAAGATGCCTGAGGTGAGAGTCACGGGGGCCTTCATCTGCATGCTGGACCCCACCATGGTGGGGAAGCTGCGGTTCCGCCGGATGCCACTGTTGAGCTGTAGCCCGCCGATGGCACTGGTGACAGTGGGGCATCCCAGGGGCAGGCCCTCGGGTACCAGGCCTCTGGGGACAAGGGCTGGCGCTGGCCCCGGGGGCCCACACAGGAGGGGTCCCTGCTCCTCAGTCAAGGTGGGGATGTGGGGTCGCCCTGAGTTCACCACTCTGGCCACGCCGAGCCTTCTGACTTTGTCCACGAGGTTGAGGTTGGAGACCGACACGTCGGTCTGGCTCTCGCTGCTGCGGACGTTCTTTTCTCTCACCTCCCTCAGGATGGAGCTGGCCGGCTTGGACGCCAGGAAGGTGTCGTAGGGGGGGCTCGTGCACTTGAATTCAAAGGAGGGCGGGGAGGATGTGGGTGTCTGCATGGGCGAGTTCGGCGGGGTGGAGGGGATCACGGCCATCTTGGGCGCGTAGGAGTGCAGCAGCGAGCCCCGGCCGGCTCTGTCCCAGCTCTGGGGGTCGTACACGGCAGCAGAAATGCCCCGCTCCTTCAATAGCCACACGAGCCCCAGGGATGTGCTCATGGTGGTCGTGGACTCACGGGTGTTAGTGAAGGACTCAGCCAGACTCAGTCTCCGTGGAGTGCATGGTGTGGCCACTGGCGTGGACTTCAAGTGGCTGGCGCTGCCACAAGCTGGAGTTGGGGCTGAGTTAAGGCTGGAAGGAGAGACGACAGGTTATTCGCCAGAAGCCCACGAGCTCCACAGAAAGCGCCAGCAGCCAGTCTCCTGCGGGGGGTGTGGGGAGGCCCAGGACACGATGGGAGGGTTCCCCCAGTGGAGGTCCCCAAAGGCTCCGACCACATCTGCCCTTCCCTCTCACCCTGCAAGGGGAGCATGTTTCAGTGAACAGGAGGCTGCAGTGACCCCCTTTGCCCATCCCTGGCTGGTGGGCCCAGCTGTCGCCTCCGCAGTTGAAGGAACAGGCTCAGAGCTAGGGGTTCACTTGGTGCCACATCTGGCTGCTGGGTGGACACCACAAGTTGAGTGACTCTAAATCCGTCTGAGAACAAGAAAAGAAGCCCTTTGGCAAACAGGCACTCTCTCCCCACCAGATTTACCCAGATTCCTGTGCTCCTTCCTAGTACCTACTTCTCCCTGAAGCAAGACGTGAGCCAGGACTCCGGGAGACGAGACACTTTATCTTAGGAAGGGCAAGGATGGCCACAGCACGTGGGCTGAGGCCGGGCTGTGCCCCTCGGTCCGCTGTGGCCGTGGGCTCTGACTCCGGGTGCAGAGCTCCTGCCTCTGTCCCACGCTGCCTTACCCCTCTTTAAATGCTGCCCAAATCCACACTAACCAGTGGAGTTGGAGGGTCGGGGGAGGCACGTCGCATATGAACAGATCTCCATCGACGACGCTGCCCAGGGAAAGGCCCGCCGCAGTGTGTGGAGCCCGAGGCACCGAGGAAAGCGGAAGGTCTGTTCATTCATGCGGCTCGTGCTCACCGGGGACTCACTGGTTCCAGCAGCTGAGATCCAGCCGTGGAGACCGTTTAGGACCGAAAAGTTTCCGGAAGGGCAGCGGTGGGAAATGCATTGCTGTCTGCTTAAAAAGCAGGAAAGGTTCTCTCTCTTTTCATATGTATAATTGCAATTACCTTTGCACCAACCTAATAACTCGCTCTCCTTAGGGACTGTGAAGAATTACCAGTGCTGCCTGTACTGTAAGTCACCACTGTGGTGTATTGGGGAAACTTCCAATTGGCAATAAAGTCCTTGGCTATGACACTGCCGCCCTGCAAAGCTGGGAGAGGTTCTCTTTTAACAGCTGCTACAGGGTCTGGGGAGGCCAAGCAGGCAAGGAAGCTCCGCACTGCATCTAAATGAGCGACCAAGAGCCAACAGGCGCTCCCCGCTTCTCAACAAGCAGCCAGGAGGCAAAGGCGCACGGCCCTCCTAACACTCTGGTGTCCACGCCGGCTCCAGGATTTTGCTGGGGCTGCCAGTGCGCCTTGGAGCAGGTCAGCTGTGTGGTCCCTGAGAGCTGAGGATGGAGACTTCTCTCCCCAGCCTGGTGTAAGGAAGTCCACGCATTCTGGGAAAGGCACCAATGGAGGGAAAGGGAAGGAAAGGGCCCGATCTGGGGGCAGGTCTTTGGAATGAGCAGAGAAGGGTCCCCCTCCCTCATGGGAGACGGTTCAAAACGACGTACAAGCTAGCGGCACCATCTGGCTCCACACGCAGGGGACCTCAGCCCTGGAGGTCGGCATGGTGTGGGCATCCCAGAACGGCCCGTCTCACACAAGCTCAGGGGTGGGGATGCTGGTGGGCTGGGGGCACTCAGAGAAGCATGATTAGAAACCACAGCAGATTCCTAAGGCTAAACGTGGAATTTTTTCTAAAGGCAGGGTTGGAGTTTTACAAATGTTGATGTGCCCTCAGTAAAGGACAAAAAGCCGCAGACTTGAGACCATGTGGACATGGCCATCCCGAGGGAGACTGTTTCCATTTTGTTTGTTTCAATTGATTTGTTGCCGTTTTATTTCGGGCAGCCTTTCTTTCAAACTCAGGCCAAAAAAATAATAATAATAAAAATAAAAGCCTTCTCTTGCTACTGACTTCCCAGGCTTGGCTCGGCCGGACAGCCACATGAAGACCTGTGCGCGGCTTGAGTCCTGTGGCTACAGTCAGGAGCGCCATCCAGTAACCCAGCACCAGCCTCTCATCAGGGATGCTGGTTCCATGGCTCTGAAAACAGCCTCTTCCCCACATAAAGCCACAGGACGGGGAAGCCACGTTCTCCAGGGGCAGGAAGGGAGATGGAGAAGAGAAGGCTGAAATGGACAGATCCCCGTCTGTGAGGACTCGGGGTTAGGCCTGTATTAGTGCTGGTGCTCGGCTTCACTGGAGGCGTTTAGATGGGTTAGGGGCATCGACCATCAAGGCCGAGTTAGAACCACAGAGACACAGCCACGCCTCAGTCCCAGGTTAGTGACGGCCACGCGTGCACACACAGCCCCTTCCCGGGGTGCTGCTGGGGCGGGCACTGCTGGCGGTGTGCTCACCCCCTGCCTCGCCCGTGGCCCTACATCTCCTCTCAGCTCAACGGGGCATATGGCTGCTTCGACGTCCTTCTCACATGACCTGCGGAGAATCATTCATAGTTTAAGGTGCCCCCTGGCTCACTGCTCCCGCCCCTTCTGCTTTACCTTCCGGCAACCCAGCATCTCGCACCACAGAGGAGACAGCTGAGGGGTCGCTCTGCTCTGCTAGGGGAGACCATTTTCTGTTTTGCTGGAAGCAGTGAAAGGCTTGAAATCAGGCCAAACAGACCAACTCACACCAGACAAGTCCTCCCCATACACGGTGCTCCAGAGAGAAACGGACCTTGCTGGGCACGTGGCTCAGTCCTGACATCTTCTCATTTTGGCCATTACACTTTAGCTGTGGGGCATGGTTCCTGGGGCCTATTCCAGAGACATAAGGGCTTCCACAGGGCTCTGTAACTCCATCCATAACTAAAAGAATTCTGTGCTCTACTGACAAACTTTGGGGCAAAAATCCAACAGCCCTGTGGTTGTGTCAACTTCAGCTGGCTGAGGACAGGGCTAGCAATCCATTCCACAGCCAACTAAAAGGGCAGCCAAAGGCGGGCCCAGGTCTCTTCATCTGAGCCAGATCCAGATAAACAATAGCCTTAATTCCAAAGGAAAGATGGGCTTGAACCCAAGAGGTGGAGGTTGCAGTGAGCCAGGATCACACCACTGCACTCTAGCCCGGGCGACAGAGCAAAAAAAAAAAAAAGAAAAGAAAAGAAAACAAAGATGGGACCCAGAACAAGCGCCTGCAAATGCTGGCTTGAGTTGGTTTTTCTATGAGCCTCTCTACTTGGCTTTCCTTAACATTAAGCCTGGCAGGCAAGGGAGTGCCCCGACCTCACCCCGCCCCTGCCACCCCAGGGCCAGGGTCCCTTACCTTGGCGTCACCCGAGTGAGCTCATCCGAAGGGTGCAGGATGCGGCAGGTGGTGAAGGTGAAGGTGGAGTTGGTCTGAGACATGCACTTCCCAGGGTGGTGTGCTACATTGAGAGGAACAAAGCATATTCTTGCATCCAGGTACAACCACAACGAAACTTAAAATCCAGCGTGTCACTCAACAGATGCAAGAAGCGATGAGCTACCTTGTTAACTGGATCTGGGCGAGGAAGGTGAAACGCAAATGTTCTGGATTGAAGGTGAGTCCTCAAAAATAACCACAATTTTGAGCACTGGTCTGCAGAGCACCGAATTCCAGCTTCCGACCCAGGCCAGGCAAGGTTTCTCATCGGGATTCTTGAGCCAGTAGTGGATCCAGTCTGGGGGGGAGGTGAGGGGGGCTGGGTAATGGGACTTTGGGGGGTAATTTTGTTTCCCGCCTCAGGTCAGACCTGCTGTCTTCTTTTGCGGCTTTACATTTCTTTGCATTGGTAACAGGTACCAAAGCTCTGCTCAGGGGAAGGGGAGGGGTCCAGGCAGGGAGAGCCACTTGGCACCTGGGAGCAGGGCAAGGCTCACAGCTCCCTTTCTGCTCACACAAAAAGGGGCTTAGGGACGCTGGCTCCACTACTGTCTGTCTGTGATCATCATGGCAGGAGATGGGGACTTCAGCTGCCTCGGCAACAACGTGGCAAGAGCTGCAGAGATCAGGGCTCTCCGGGGCCCTAAGCTCCAGGGTCGGGTCTGGTCTGACACACACGGTGTGAGCAGTACGGGGCGCCCAGAACCCCAGCTGTCAACTGCTTTCCTGACATCTCTAAGATGTCCGATGTCTAATGAAAATGAGATGGCAACAAGCACTCCTCAATTTACTTCCCTTTAATGCCCTAGCAAGCCGTTGCTGAGGCAGCTGAGACTATGGTCTGGAGCAAAGTAAATCACGGAAGTGTTAGGACCATGCATGAGAGAGCTGGCAAAGGAACAAGGAACAGAGTCTGCGGGAGACATCATGATTGCTCAGGTTCGTCCTCATTCATAACTCAAGCATCAGAAAAAAAAAAAGATGCTGCCCCAAACAGCATGCACGATGAAGGACTGGGATGATCCTCCCACCCAGCCCCGCCCCACCCGCTGCCCCTGTAGCAGCTCAGCCCCCAGAGACCTCCTGGGAGAAAACTGATTCGGATATCGGAGGCCATGGGGATTCAAAGGCCATGAAGATTCAAAAGGCTGAACTAGAATCTTCTAGCTCCTTATGGCATATTTTCTCTGGGATTTGACAAAAAGGAAAACAACGGAACTGCTGCTGCCCCAGACCTACAGGTCCACACACAGCTGACCGCGTCTTAAAAGAAAACCAGGAACCGAACAAAAACAAACAAACAAAAAATGCTGGAGACACAAATTAAAGGCAGGCAGGACAAAGCCAGAGCACAAAAGGGACGGTCACCGGAGGGGCAAGGCGAGACAGCGTGCTCCGATGCGGAAGGTCTGGCCCGGGCCTGTGTGCCCAAGCAGGCTCCCGTGGCACCTGGCGTGACCGCCAGCACCACAGCCACAGGAGAAAAGTCTCAGCCACGTGGAGCTCCAGGCAAAGCAGGAGGGAGGGGAAAACACATAAAAATGGCCTTTGTGAATCTTTCTCCATCAGTAAACATAATGGTTCAGGAACTCCAGTAAGAAAGAAACCGCCACAAGCAAAACAAAAATGGAACAAGCTATGAAGAGAAGGCAGCCGACAATCACGAGTCTCTTCCTGCGATAAGGTCTAGAAACAGAAAGAACAGAAAGCCTGGGGAGGCATCCCAGGTAACAGGCAGGAAGGGTATTTGGGAAGAGGGACAGGGGAAAGCAGTGAATAGAAGTAAGACAGTTGAAAGAGAGATAACATTTAAGAGAAATCAAACAAGGGAAGCTGGATTTAAAATCAGAAGCATCCCCCCCACTTAAACACATGGCCAGAATATCAAATCAAAAGGTCGCAAATGTTCACTTCCCCCTCCACCCTTTACACATTGGCTCTTCAGTTGCAGCAGGGAGCGAAGGATGGACGTTTTAGAGACAGCTGCATCAGCAGAAGCAAACCCATCTTACACAAATGGGTTTTGGAGGCAGGAGAAGGCTGCTAAAAATTCACAAGTCACCATTCCCCAGAAGCAATCAACAGCTTTAGAAGACCAAGATCAACAAGTGTCCAAAGTGCTAAAGCCAGAGGTTCGGCCCCTCCAAAATACCACCAGGACGCCTGGGCCCGCGGGCGGGCGGCTCTCCACACGTCAGCACTGACCACCGGGCCGCTGCTGCACCTCCCTTCCTTGAGACACAACATAGAGACAGTGAGTCACCCAGGACCGAGATGTCAGAGGCCCCTCATGCTTGCTACAGAGCAGCAGGCTGATTCCTAAGGCCCTGATGCAGGAGGACAGCAAGTTCTAGAAAAACAAAACGGGAGGAACATCAAACACCCTTCTTGTCAGGAAATGGGGGTGGGGGTGAGAGCTCAGTCACCGAGCCCCCTTCTTTATCTAAAGGGAAAGTTCCGTGCAGAAGATGGTTTCACGTGTTCATCCCATGCTGCTCAATTTGGGGGCTCCAAAAGGACAGGCTTTCTTGGATTTCATGCCTTAATTCCCTATTTTTTTCTCTCAACCTGAGTGAAGGGCTTCCTGGTGTTGTGAAGAGACGGGCATACGTAGATGGGTGAGAGCATTAACAACAACAGATATTTCCATCATTTTACTTAGGAATGCATTTGCATTTACCAATAAAAACCCCTAATTCTTTTTTAATTGTTTTTCTTCTCCCAGATTCCGACACTGGTACAAAATGTGATGGGCTTGAAACTTAATGAATCCTTGATTATTCAAGATCTTCTCCGGTGATGAACTGCCCATGGCCAGCATGCAGATGTTTTGTTCTGAAAACATACCACATGCAAGCACACATCCTTCTGCTAGCTACACGGGGGGCGCGTCGGAGGACTTTGAGGGTGACAGCCACCCGCCCCACACACTAACAGAGTGACAGCTCACTGCCATGCTCCTCGGGGGCTGTGGCACCTGGGACTGACTGGAAAACTGGGTAGCTGGGATCTTTCTGCTGAAGCCAGTGAGGAGGGATCCCTGACACGGCCCCCACTCCCGGGATGCCCCTCAGACTGCGCTAGACAGAGTGGGGTGGCTTCTGCGCTGTGGACTGCTCAAGCCTCCCAGGGAAGACAGGTAGAAGGCCCGCGGATTCCTACAGCCCAGTGCTTTCATGGTGAGCAGAAGAAAGCACAGAGGGGCTGGGTCACTGCGGGGGGCCCAGGGGTTCCACAGGGAGTTGTAGGATGAGGATTCTGCCCGTCTGCCACCCACAAAATACAACTGGTACCCACCTGCTCATGCCCTTCCTTCCTCATCACCCCTGGGAAGAGCTGGGGACAGAAGCTTGCTTCTCTCTAAAGGCCGCCATAGAACCCAGCCCTTAAAACAACCCTCACGTGAGCTGGAAGACGGACTTGGTATGCTGCTATGGGGAGATTTAGGGTGCAGCATTCACCAGACACAGCTGCCTCCGGGGAAGCCCCTGAGGATGGAGACGGCGGCCACGCTGCACACCAAGCTGCTTCTCAACAACTCACATGAGTAACATCTACACACGCGAAACACATTTACAGAAGCACCTCAAGATCTTGGAAAAGGGACTCCGCCTTTGTGACGCACTGAAGGCCTTCCACGTCCTTTCCGCCATTCTTGGGAAGTGGCCGACTTGTGTCAAATAAACCCTATGCCCCTGACCTTCCTGTTCTTTTTCAACTTGAACATGTAATGGGATGCTGCTGTCACATGGCTTGAATCTGCTTTGCAAGTTCCATAAGCTCCTCCACTAATACCCCTCCCCCACCCAGCAGTGGCACCCACAGGCCAGCCTGTTCTATCCAAGTAAAAACAAATCTATTGAAAATAAAAGCCCTTGTCCATCCAGCTTAAGGCGTGTTTTGAACTGTCCCTTGGGACTACAGCCTGCTTTGGACGTTTAATGCCCAGTTTCTGGTGACTTTGTGGCCTTTTGCTTGAGGGGTGGAAGGGGGAGAGGGAGACGTGTCTGCCTGTCAACTGCATGAGAAATAGTTCCCTTTCCATCAAACAATGCTTTACCCCTTCCCAAAGGACTAAAATATCAGGGCATAGAAGATGCTCTAGAGATGTTCCTGTCTCTTCACGATGTCACCCTGCCCATGACATTTTCAGGGAAAAATAAAAAGTTGTGTGATGAGTTCATGTGGGAAAAGCTCCATGAAGCCCGTCTGCCCTACGAGTCGTCATTGCTAGAAGTACTGTGTAGGATTCCCGCGGCTTTGCCAAGGGTTTCCTCTGGAGGTGAGGGGTGGGGATCACGAGCAGTTTCACACGCAGCGGTGCAGCTTTCTTGTTTTAGAAAATACAAAGGCGATTTTAAATGATAACATGCTGTACAAGACGACGCTTCCAAAGGCCTTGGTTCTGGGCTTCGCAGAGGCTTGGTATTTATTTGTTCTCTGCGTTTCTCCACCAGGCCCCCGACCGCTCCTGCAGCTCAGTGGAGATCCCGAGCTCGGTGGGCAGACGTCTGGCCAGCGGGAACTTGGGAGGTTTCTATCACAGAGATTTGAACCACATCACAAGACCTTTTTCTGATTTCTGCACAGCTTATTTTTTGTTTCTGCAAAATTAAAAGTCGACTTGCTGCTACGCCAAGTTGCCTACTCTGTTTCATCTAAAAAGTATGTGATTTAAGAGGTGGACAATTTCACAGCACTGTGCAGAGGGTCAGAAATCCTCTCAAGTGTCCCTGGGGTATCTTCCTGAGAAAGGGGGATTTTTAGAATGCTGCTAAATGTCAAAAGGGCAAATGTGAAACCTCCTTGTAGTCCTCAGACACCACCAAGGCTGGTCCCCGTGCCCTCTGTTCTCTCGTCCTTCCTTCTGTGCAGACACCGACCGCGCAGGGAGCTGGCCTGGCTGAGCTGCACTGAGGCTTCCCCCGCTGGTGTTTACGTCCCCTGGGCTCCACTCCTCCTCTCCACACGGGCACTCCCTCAAGGGTGTGCCCTCCACGCTGGACGGGTGTCGGTGGGGACGCCTACCCCTCAGCCACCCGCGTGCCTCTAGGGGTGCTGGGGTTGTTCAGAAGTGAGGACACCAGAGAGGCCATGCTCAACAAGTGGGCTCTGTTCCGGGTATTTTAAGCAGGGCTGACTCTGCGCTGTCTGTTTTGAAGGAGTCAATTCTTTCATTCTTCATTTTTCCACTTGCAGGCAGCAGCTGGCCTGCTGTACTGTGGCTTCATATGCATTCTGACGGAGGAGCGCTGGGGTTTCCTTTGCGTCTCCTCACACAGGTGGGTGTGAGCCGGCCATCCTCTCTATCCACAACAACCAAACGCCCTCATCGCCGCCACGGAACCAGGCTGAATCAAAAAGTGTTCCCAACAGAGCGGGAACTCACATCAACTCCCTCAGTGTAGACAACGGGAAAGAGCTTCCCTGCACCCAAAGGTCTGTGAACCGAGCACACCAGACTTCGCCTTCCAGACCCATCAAGTCCCCAAACCAACTTCTCACAGCCTGCCTGAACCCCACTTCTGTGATCTGCGGTGGACTGAAGGGGGCACAGCATACGAGCCAGCTGGGCCCCGCCCGGCAAAGCTGCACGAACACCCTGCTCCCCTGCTGCCCTGGCTCTTCCCACCACAGCCCTCCTCTGCCCTTTCCTCGCTCAGCCACTGCTCCTGACCCTGGGCCTATGTATCCAACAAGGAGGCAACGGAAGACGCTGATTCTTGGCGTTTGCCTTGGTGGCCTGGCTGCTGGAGATTTTGGGAATTTTTCAAGGGCAATTTTAGCCAAGTGTGTTTTTTCTCGTCCACTCTGACTTTAAGATCTCAGCTCTAGGCCAGGTATGGTGGCTCGCACTGGTAATCCCAGAAGTTGGGAGGCTGAGGCAGGCAGATCACTTGAGCCCAGGAGTTCCAGATCAGCCTGGTCAACAGGGCGAAAGCCTGTCTCTATAAAAATAGACACATTAGCTGGGTGTGGTGGCCACGCCTGTAGTCCCAGCTACTTGGGAGGCTGAGGCAGGGAAATCACTTGAACCCGGGAGGCGGAGGTTGTCGTGAGCCGAGATTGCGCCACTGCACTCCAGCCTGGGCAACAGAGCGAGACTCTGTCTCAAAAACAAGGAGCTCAGCTCCAGCTGGGACAGTTTCCAATGTGGCCAGGTAAGATGCCAAGATGCCATGATTTGTATAAGTTTTTGAGGATATTTCCCCTCCATATGAACCAGTCTTGCTGTGTAAAGGCTTTAAAATAAACTGACCATCAATTTTCTCTAACCATGCGGCTTTAATCCCGCTTCTCTCTCACCTTTAAGGATCAAGGCATCCAAGATAATTCAACTAAACTGCCCATCCGCCAGCCAACTACCGACGTCACTGTCTGACTTTCTGTCCCCTGCCACATGCAGGCTCTTCCCCACACAAACGCCTAAAACACAGAGTGCTCGCAGAACAAGAAGGTGACTGGTTCTGATATACTTTCTATATAAATTAAAACATATCACTGAAAGTAAAACTATAATCTAAAACTTTTCAAACATTCCATTTTAATCATCTAAATTTTGTACAATACAGTAACATGGAATCATCCTTCTTACGACGTGGGATTATAAACATCAACAACTGGATGATGCTTCAAATAATACATTTAAATACATAAATCAAACTTTTTCAGTGCTTAAAACCCTTTCTCCACGGGACAGCAGGCTCTGAACAAAAGCGCCTAGTATGTAAGTCTTCCCAGTTTCCTTCAATCATAGCAGCTATGCATAAAAAGGTTAATCACCTTCTGTCCCCAAAGGGTCTCCCCACTGAGGCTTCCCAGGCAGGCAGCAGCTCCTGGGATAGTGCTGTTTGGGAACAGAAAAGCCCAGGGGTAGAAGATGAATCAAAAGGCAGGGACCAGACCACCGTGGATACAAATTGCAAGGCAGAGCATGCCCCAAGCCCTTCCCAGGAAGCTTATCTGTCTGCCTGTGTCTCCATGATTGCAGGAATAGCTACTTGGGACCCCTAGGATGATTTATTTAGTGATGTGCTTTTACATTATGAGAATTTAAATGTTCCTGTAATTCCCAATAGAGAAAACAGAGCCAACTCACTGTTCACCCTGCTCCTCTCTGAAGCCAGTTTTTAAACATGAGTCTTACCCAGAAAATAAGCCCCAAAAGAAGTCTCATCTAAATGCTCAGACTCTTCCTAAATTACCTTCAGCAGCCTAGATAATTCTCTTTTTATTACACACCTCCAACCTGACCCTTGCTACAGTTTCAACTATAAATGTTCATGCCCCTCCTCAAATAAAGTTGCCAGGATGAATTTGCTAAGGTTTGAGTACAGAGGGAACAAGCAAGAAAGAGCTGTTGGTGTCTCTGCTCAGGAGCGCGGTCAGGACCACAGTCCTCGTCGCTGGCCCCTTCTCCCCCTCTGTGTCCTCCAGGAGAAGCTGTTTCCTGACTTGATAAGCTTCAGTCCTTCTGTACAACGTCTTGAAGATGCACCTCATGGTGCTTCTTTCCGTTTCCAGAATTCAGCTTTTATTCTACCTGAGAGGCTGCCAGGGAGCATCCCAATCGACATGACGCCGACCCCTTCAGCCGCAGAAATCAGCCAGGCATCATGCTGTGCGGCACCACCTGCCTTCCTGACGGGCACTGGTGCGGATGCCAAAGCTGGGACACTCCGCACTGGTTTTCCTTTTTCAAGGTATAGATACGAAATAAAAAACATCTCATTCCCTCACAAGCTTAATCTAGTAATTTAATAGCTTAAAAAAAATCAAACCATTAATAAACCTATGTACTGAACAAATCACACGACTGGATGACTTCTCTAAAGTTAACGTCAAGGACAAAAGGAAGAGTTGATCCCACATAAAATCCCTTAACCACAGCTGCCTGAAGTTAGCGAGGGGAATGGGAGACACCGCCAGGAACCCCAGCTCCTTCCTGCCGTGTTTCGTGGGGAGCGCTGCGGCGTTCACAGAGGAAAATCATGAATCATGAAGACGCATGTCCTCGTTTCAGACTGGGTGACTTGGGAATGACATGAGGATGACAACACAGGGTAACTCATTTCTTCTCAGTCTCTCCCCTGACTCCACAAAAGCTTTGTCTTCCCAGCACAAGGGGCTGGGAGGCCCAGTCCAGGCAGAGCGTGCTGTTGGGGAAAACAGTAGCCATGTGATCCCACGTTCCCAGGGCTCAGAGCACAAAGCTCTTCATCCCAGTGGCGACTGGGATGTGGGTGATTCTGTAAACTCACGGTCACAGCTTCAGTGCTTGGGCGCAGTGGGTGGAGTCAGGCGGAGCTCCCTCCCAGCCTCATCTGGGGCTCTCTCTCCGGAAAAGCTTAGTGACATTCTCCGAAGGTTTACTTGGTTACTGAGTGTTGCTGACACACTTTTAAAAAGCCCACTTTGAACACATGCGTAAGCTGGAAAGAAAATGATGTATCTACCTACACTGAGGCCGGGAAAGTGACGAGGCTGGCGAAGATCTGAAACCCTGAACCTTTACAGGTTCTTTCCATTTTAATACAGCACATAGGCGACAGATGGTCTCACTTGCCTTCAGAATGACCCAGCACCCAATTTCCCCGAAGCTGCTCAGCTCCACTTGGAAATCACCAGGGAACTTGGGAATCTTCTCCTTAGACTCAAGGAGACACCCAGACCAGGACGAAGGGCACTGATGTTCTCAGCCGCCCAATAGCCCACTTTTTTTTTTAGCAGCCTTTCCTGGTCCCTCTTTAAGATCCCTGCTGGGCCATGCACCTCCAAGACGGGCAGGGGAGCGACACCCATTGTTACAAATAGGAGGCTTCAGACTCTGTATTAAAAAACAGAACCGCACAACGAGAATGCTTTAATCATCACCCACACAGACGAGCAGAAGCTACAGACAGAGAGCCACTACGGATGGTGCCTGGAACAGAGGTGAGAATGGCCCAAAACTCTGCCTCCGGGAAAGGTGCCAAGTTTACAGGACTTATCATGGTGCCCTCACCAGACCCCTCCTCCTCCTCCTCCTCCTCCTCCTCCTCCTCCTCCGTGGCCGCTGGCGGCTCCTGCATCTCCTCTGGGGAAGCCTGAGGCCGGCTCGGGTAACTTCTGCTGCCTGAGACAGTCACACGTGCTCGGGACCTCTCACCTGAGGTCTCTGGGTTCTGAACTGGCGTGGAGGTAGCTAGGCGCGGGAGAGAAATGTGGTCACCTGTGTCATCTTCTTCAAAGTCGTTAAGGCAGTACACTTCATCCAGGTCAACGTCCAGTGTCCGGAAGCCCTTGGTGACCACACCGGGCCGGGGGTCCAGGATGCCCCCAAGGTGAGGTTGGGCCAACTGCTGCCAGTGGTGCAGGGTGGCAGAACCTGCAGGAGACCAGGGGGGAAGAAGGGGACGAGAAGAGAGGCTTAGGATGGAAGTCCAGGACAGTGGCTGCTTACAACCCTCAAAGTGCTCAGCACGAACCCCGGCAGGGCCTGGGCCTCCAGGTGGACCACAGTGGGAACTTCAGGAGCTGCCCTAAACCTAACTCTACCACAAAACAGTAGCCAAACCCTACCACGCCCAGAAGGGGTGCCAAGTTAAGAAATCAACAATTTTTTTTAGGTAAAATCCACACCATAGTATGTGCAAAGGAAGTCTGGGGACAAGGCTTTTATTTTAATCAACTGATGTCAACCCCAAAATTCAACACCTTCGCATTTTACAAAATGGAAGGGGGAAACATGGCAAGGTAAGCATCAGAGGGGAGCACATGTACTGATTCTATGCCAGATACACACTGCCGGGGACAGGGAAGACATGAGCTCAGGCAGAATAAGATCACATCAAACCAGGCCCAGGACCCACAGCAAGAGAAAAGCGAAAGGAAATGAAGGCAGCTCACAGAGGTAAGTGGCGGATACGACCATTACCCCCTTGACTGAGGTTTTCTAAATTCTGCCAGCAACTTTGAGAGGCTGCTGGGTTAGGGAGACGGAATCGGGTCAGAGAGGTGTGATTTAAGAACACGGTCGGTCCACACAGACGTCTAATGCAGGGGAGCCCATCTTCTCCATGACACCGGAGTGTGTCCCTGAAGACCTCAAGGTGTCACAGGTGCTCTACAAAGAGAAGTGTCCCTAAGCCAAGCGTGCTCAGGAAACTTAGTGAAGAAGTATTTTTGCTGAGGGGCATCACAGACCCTGTCATATGCCACAGTGTCCTTGCCCGACTTATTTCACAGAGGAACACTTTCACCCTTGGAACACTTACTAATGCCGCATGTGCCACCACGCTAGTGCACGGCCCGTGAGCGTGAGGCTGGCAGCGCTCATTCTACAGATGAAGGAGGTACCCAGATGCGCATGGCCTCGCCAATAAATATTCCGTGCTCAAAGGACAGACTTCCGAAGGGGTCCGGGCACCGGGAGGCAGGAGCCTTCCTGCAGGGGTCCGGGCACCGGGGGACAGGAGCCTTCCGCAGGGTCCGGGCACCGGGAGGCAGGAGCCTTCCCGCACAAATGGATGCTCGGGCAGTCACCACTGGTTTACCAAGGCTGTGCTTGCTGGGTAGGGAAGAAGCACTTTAGGATACCAGGCTGCCCTGGGGCTTGAAGACACGGGAGTTGAGGCTGCCAGGAGCCAGCAGCTCAGGAAGTCAAGACAGAAGAGAGGGGAACGTGGGCAGGCTGAGGTGGGAGGCGGCGGGTGAGGGAGGGGCCTGTGGTGTGGGTGCGGAGTCTGCCGTTTCCAAACAGCCCTCGGAAATAACTTCTCAGGGACAATCTCAGCCAGAGAGGCTGGAAAGGGATTTATAAACGAGCAATTTCAAATCCGCTTAGAAGGAAAAAGGCAGCGCACACTGCCAATACATGTTCAAAGAGTTCCTAGACACCGTTTCAAGGTCTACCCCAGGTTTAAGAGTTCATGGGTACAGGAGCAACATACCTACTCTGGATATATGAAATATAAATAGAAAATACACTAAATTAAAAAGAATTAGGAAAGAAAGATTCTAAGGAAAGAGGGTGTCACATATCTGTTCTCTCACTAGGTGCTAAGGCGCATCTAGAGTGATGGTTCTCAACTAGGGACAATTTTGCGCCCGCCCCCCGCCCTGGAGACACGTTTGGTTGTCTCGGCGGTGGAGGAATGGCGTCTGGTGCTCATGGCATCTCGCGGGTAAAAGCCAGAGACGCTGCCCCATATCCCACAATGCACAGGGCAGCCCCACAGCAAAGAACGAGCTGGCCCCAAATGTCAGCAGGGCTGGCGTTGAGAGACCTTGCTCTAGAGCTGTGCTCCTTAACTCTCAGCTGTCTTGAGAATCTGAAGGAAGCTGTGGACCCACTTCCTAAGGAAGCATGCATGTTAGCAACACCAAATGAGCCCAGGGCTTCGCAGACCTGCAGGGACCAGGTCACGGGCTCCCGAGTCCCACCTGCCACAGCCTCCTTGTGAGTTTTTAAATCAAGCTTCCCCACACCGAGGCAGGCCTGCACAGCGCCTTGGTTTACATCTGTTACACCAGCTCACTCCTCGAAAGCACTAAGTATTATAATTACGCACTTTACAGATGGGGGAATGGTGGCTGCCTGAAGTTACATAACCTTCCAAAGTCACTTAATTAGTGGTGGCGTAGCCGGGGTTCACAACTAAAGACCAGGTTTGCACACTGCCCACCCATCACAACCCACAGGCCTGAGGACAGGAAGGACACCAGTGTCCCCGCTGCACAAATGGTCAGCAGCAGAATTTCCAGGTGGGTGTCCAGGGCCTGCCAGGAGGCAGTTCTGCTGAGAGGTGCTCTCTGCTGTCCCTGGGGACTCCCATTCACCCTGCCCAGCAGGCCCCAGTACGAATGCCCGCCGGCTGTGCAGGTCATCCCTGATAGCAAAACAGCACCTCGAGAAGTCTTAAAAAGCCACCGTACTATCAGGTTCAGCTTGGGACTGGACACATGGGAGTCTGAGAAGGATGATGAGAAAGCCCCGGTACAATATGGCCACGTCACCTCTACTTTTGGAAGGGAAAAAGGGGGTACGCCAACAGACTCTGGAAGGTGAAGAACCCTGGTAAGGAGATACTGAAGCCTCTCATCCTTCTGAAGGGAGGATGTTTACGATTCACTGGGAGAGAACCCAGGGAGGCTGGAGGTCTCGGCCCCGACAGCAGTCTAGGCCTTTCTCCTCCAGCTGTTTAACAGGCCGACCCTTCCCCGCCTCCCCTGCCTGCTCCCAAGGATGGGCTGGAGAGAGAAGTGAGGCTGTGAAGGGTCTGCTGTTTGGAGTTAAAGAGGCCACAGACATGTGCGGAATTACTTGCATTCTCTGACACTCCACAGCCAAGGAAACAGTGAAATCACAACTAACACATGATGTGGAAAGACGCATCGTCCTCAGATTTCTATCCCACGCCTTGGGCATCCTTTACTCACGTAAGAACGGCCAACTGCTACTGGGCATTTGCTAGGTGCCAGGCACTTTCCTGAGGTCTACATTTATAACTCACTTCATCTTCACATTGTCCCTGCTGTCTGCAGTTTGCAGATGAGGGAGCTCGAGTATAGGAAGGAAGGTCACTTGCTAGCAGCTGCATTGCTGGCAAGTGGCTGACTGATCTGGGACTGACACCAAGGCTGGCTTAACCCTCAGCAGTGAGAGGCCTCGCACGAGAATCTCCAAAATCTGGTCAGTAACACACCTGAATGTCTCTCGAGACACCCATGCAGGTGTCTTCTCAAAGCTGGTTGTACTATTTCAGTTCTGTCATGCTGCGGGGCTCACGGACTATCTCCACTCCTGGCTGGTTCCAAGGCCCCGGGGGGTTGGCCAAGCCTGTCACCTCCCTGCTGCTGCCTAAGCCATGTGGGAATTCTACCAACCTCTTGGCTGCCTGCAGTCCTTCCTTTAACATAAGAAGGTATGTGAATTAAAAAATAAATATGAATTGCATCTTCTTCAGAGACAACGTTGCCTCCTTCCCATCCATTTCTCCAGCTCGTTCTCCAGCCTGGCTTCCTTTACTTGCCAGACACTGTAAAATGAGCTATCTCCCATTACCAACCCAAGACCTGCTCACTCCTCCCACACACGAAAACCAGGCGCACAGGGCAAGGGAAGAGAGAAAGCTTCATTTCCTGGCGGGCCCCAAGGGAAAGTTCTGTGGGAAAAGCGCATGGACAGCAGGGCAAACGTAACTAGGGTCACTGCCTCTTTCCCCTCTGCTTTCCTTCCACACCCCGGTGCTCCAGCCAGAACATTTTCAAATCCTCAAAAGAGAGGAAATCCCAAAATCTACTAACGTCAGAGGAGCATCAGGACTCAGACACTAGAATGAAGCCTGCTGGGTAAGGTACAGCTCCTCAGTGTAGCCTTTCCTTTAATTTCATATTATCTATCTGGACATGCTGCCTTCGTTATGATTAATCAGAAAGGAAGAGGAAATTACAGGAAGAAAACACTGCCCACCTCGGTCTTTTTAACACAGATCTCCTTCTAGTCTGAATGTTCTGTTTGTTCTTCACCTGCTTGAAGCTGGTCAGGCAAGATGAAGAGACAGGTGTCTGCCAGCACTCTGAAACACCTGGCTGTTTTGGCTGCCATGGTGAGCAGATGGCAAGGTGAATTAAACAGGTAAGGGAGCCAGGCGGAAGACTCTGGCTGGCACCTGCTTCTCCAGGGACCTCACCTCAGGTACGTTTACCTGGGCTGCTGGTGATCACGGGAATCTCATTCGCTTCTCAGTAGACCAACAGAAGGAGATAATTTAAGAATAAGACCCTAAAGCTGGTCCAGATCTCAACACTAGTAATTCCGCCCTACAGACCTGCATGGGAGCAAGTTTGGGAAGCCAGAATTTTAATAAGCACCTACTAGATGCCAGGCACGATATAAAACACTTCACATTTACTCCTAACACAGTCCAGTTTGGTAGCCATCAGCCTATTTCACAACCACAACTAAAGAAAACAAGGCTCAGAAAGTGCGTCATTTACCCAGTGTCACAGTGAGCGCCGTACTGAACCTGGCCTAGGCTGACTTCCGCATCAGCACTCGGTCTGATCTTACTAAACATGGTAACAAAAAAATAACCGCGGAGGAGAGGGGAAGAAGAAAATATTGGCTGTATTTTAAACAGCTAAGAAGTCTGCGCCAGGTGTGCTGACTCACGCCTGTAATCCCAACACTTTAGGAGGCGGAGGTGGGAGGATCACTTGAAGCCAGGGGTTCAAGACCGGCCTGGGCAACATGGTAAGACTCTTTCTCTACAAATAAATAGCTAGGCGTGGTGATGCACTCCTGCAGTCCCAGCTACTTGGAAAGCTGAGGCAGGGGGATTGCTCGAGCCCAGAATTCCAGGTTGCAGTGAGCTATGATCACACCACTGTACTGCAGCCCGGGTGACAGAGCGAGACCCTGTCTCAAAAAGTAAATAAATAGATAAACGGCTAAGAAGTCAGAGAACTCCAAATGGAGCCAAAAGCATCTATCGCATGAGGCTGTGTTACAGGCCACTATGCTAAGACATGACTTTTTAATGGTATGGATTTAGCCTCCTGGGTAGCAGAGTACTATAGACGAAATGCATCTTGCTAATCTAACAGGATTTCCTATTGTCCTATTAGCTAATCATAAAAATACTATCAAGTCACAAAATTAAAAGAAAAAAAGCCGAACTGTGTGCTTTGAAAATGAATCCAAAAACATATTCTTAGATGATCTAATGAAACACAGTCAAATGTAGAAAGCAGACAAGACAGAGATGATAAATTCCAATGATCTCTGGGTGACAAAGGAGAAAAAAGAAAAGTAAGGCAGAAAGTAAAATTGCAGAAATGAAAGATTTTATTGAAAGAAGAACAGACACAGTGTGAATCAGAAAACAATCACCAAGCTTACAACTAAATAAACAATTAAAAAGCAAGCCGCACCTCTTCTGAACTCTGAGAAGGACCCCAATTATACAATTTAAAGTAGTAATAAAAACAAACCAGCCCGCCCTCTTCCTCTGGGGACCAAGGAGCCCAGTCAGGTCTTGGGTCTCCAAGAAGAACAAGCGTACCTGACAGCACACGGCTCTCACAGGAGCAGCACTGCTCCACGGGGCAGAGACAGGTTCTTCTGAGGTGAACGTGGTTAGATTCTTTTTCGTTTTCACACCACGGAAACACTGTTGATGTATACCGTATGTAGACATACGTATAGTACATAAACAATATATCCGTGGTATTAAAACCTCATGGGGGGTGATTAGCAAAAAATGTCCAAGGAGGCTCCTTAGCTGGGACAATAATTTTTAAAAAGCTGGAAACGCTGCCTGACAGAAGTTCTAATTTGGCTTGGTATCGTAAGTGTTAATACAGAGTTTTAAAACACCTTCTCAAACTTATATGGCTTTTCAAACTAAAGGGGTAAAAAATGAAAAACAGAAACCCTTGCTGGCTCTTGACAGGGTAGTATCAGGTAGAGGAAAACATTTTGTAAGTGCCTAAACTTAAAAAAAAAACAGAAAAAAAAAGGAGGGAGGAAAAGAGGGAGGGAGAGAGGGCGGGGGAAGAAGTTTTTCCGAGTTTCATCGTCTGAGGTGCCCCTGATAGCAAAACATGAGCTGCCCCTGGAAAAGGGTGGCTTAAGGAGGTGGAAACTCACTTGTCTCCACAGCCACCCTTCCTGGGCTCCAAACTGTAGATTCTAGGAGCCGAGCTCAGAACATACTGCATCTGCCGAAAACCACAGCTTGTTATATGAAGATCAAGTCAGAACACATAAGCCCACAAATCACGTTTGGGTGGTTATGGAGGAAAAAAAATCTCCATTTAATAGAGTGTGCTTGGCACCTCTCCCTGATGCCAAAACTTCGGAGATGCTAAAGCATTAATTCTCTGTGTTCCTCACACCCACGGGCAAAACCTAATGAATTTCTGAATCTGTCAGCAGTGCAGCTACGGCTACAAAAGGTTTTTATCTCTAAGGTTCTAAAAGCAAAGGGAAGAACTAGAGGACCACAGTGCACGGGCCTGTCTTTCCTTGGCAGGCCTCGTGGCCTGTGTGTGCGCTGTCGCACCTGCCAGCCAGAGCGGGGGCACCGGGTCTAGGCTGAGCCACCCTAGAGGAACTCAAACCAGCAGCGCGGGTGGCTGTCGCGGAAGAAGAAGGAGTAGGCGTGACAGAGGTGCCCCGCCTTGCGCAGGTGGATCAGGGACCACAGGGAGTCGCCCAGGAGGACGGAGAGGGACCGAGGCCCCGTGCGATCACCTTCCAGCGGCTTCACAATCTGCAGCTTCTCGGGCAGGTAGGAGCGGCTGCTGAAGGACATGCCGGAGAAGCCGGTGAACTCGGAGAAGCGGGAGTGGGTGCCCAGGGACATGATGCTCTCGGTGGGCGTGAGGGAGCCGCTGCGGGGCTCGCCCTTCTCCGCCAGCTCCTGGAGCTTCCTCTCTTGCTCCTCCTCAAAGAACCTCCTCTCCGAGAGGTAGTTCTCCCGGCGCAGGGACAGCCGCCTCAGCGCGGTCTCCAGGTCGTGGGAGCCGGGGGTGCCTGGCGTCCCCGGCTTCTTACTTCGCTCCTCATTTCTGGAAGAAGACACGGGCGTGAGGGTGGAATGTAGGCAGGGCTGCAGGGCACAGCGGCGGCTGTCCCCGGGGCTGCAGGACCCTCCAGGGGAGCCAAGGCAAGCAGCTGACATTCAGGCAAAAGGTGGACAAATGCGTGTCCAGAGCTGCTCCCGCCTGGGGTCTTTTCTGGGGGGTGGAGGGGGGACTGTGGATGAGTGTTTGCACAGACTGAGTCAGTCTAGTCCCTCCACACCTCTCCCTCAAGAACCTGCAGGAAGAGCCTGCAGGCTGCTGCTCCTGGCTACCAGAAGGAGCGAGTTTAAGGGACGCTTCTCTGTCCCCTTGAGGGAAAGGAGCCCCGACCCCAACTCTGAACAAAATCTGCTCCGACCAGGGAGGCTCCTGTCTGTCTGATCCAACTGGTCAGGAAGAATCGACTTTATTAGGTCAGAGAAAAAGAGCATACAAAGTGCACAATGGGTGTGTGTGTGTGTGAGTGTGTGTGTTTGTGTGAGAGAGTGTATGTAAGGGTACACAAAGTGGACAATGGGTGTGTGAGGTGTGAGTGTGTGTGTGTAAGGGTACACAAAGTGGACAATGGGTGTGTGAGGTGTGTGTGTGAGTGTGTGTGTGTAAGGGTACACAAAGTGGACAATAGGTGTGTGAGGTGTGAGTGTGTGTGTGTGTGTGTGTGTGTAAGGGTACACAAAGTGGACAATGGGGGGGTGTGTGTGTGTGTTAGAGTGTGAGTGTGTGTGGTGTGTGTGTGTGTGATGTGTGTGTGTGTGTGTGTGTGTGCGCGAGCTCGTGCCTGCCTGTCTGCCTTCAGGACAAAGAGGAACTGACCACTCCTAAAGAAAGCCCCGTCCTGGGCACCCTGGGCCCCCGCCCCCACCCTCTGCACCTGTGACCACATTCTGGTCACAAGACAGCCTCGTCCTCCTCAGTCTCTCCAATATCCAAGCTACAAAGTGGTCACAAAACAAATGTCTGTTCTGTAGCCTTACCATGAAGATTAACAAAAAAATATTCATTAATCCTCCCCTCAAGCATTTCACAGCATAGACTTTCCGGTATTATGTTGTTATACGACTTTAAGCTGATTAAAATATCATATTGAGGACAGGCACGGGCTCAGTGGGTAGGTGGAACAGATCTGGAGAACTAACTGGAAGGTCTATTTTTTTTTTTTGGAGACAGAGTCTTACTCTGTCACCCAGGCTGGAGGGCAGTGGTGCAATTATCAGCTGGCTGCAACCTCTGCCTCCCGGGTTCAAGCAATTCTCCTGCCTCAGCCTCCCAAGCAGCTGAGATTACAGGCACCCACCACCACGCCCGGCTAATGTTTTGTATTTTTGGTAGAGATGGGGTTTTGCCATGTTGCCCAGGCTGGTCTCAAACTCCTGAACTCAGGCGATCCGTCCACCTTGGCCTCCCAAAGTGCTGGGATTACAGGCGTGAGCCACCGTGCCCGGCTGGGTCTGTGTTTTTCAGGCAATTCTCATCCGCCCCCCTCTTAACAATGACTGAGCCCGCAGACAATCCATACCGCTCCTCACCCCAAAACAGAGAAGCGAAAGCTCCCAGCGCGCTCACCCCAGGTCGGCCTCTGTTTCCAGAATGATGCTGTTGGTCTTGTTGTCGAGGACCACGTTGCTGACGTCGCTGCCGTAGAAGCTGGACCGCGGGGTGCTGACGCAGCTGGACAGGAGGGAGTGTGTGCCCGAGGACTGGTTGGAGCCGGGGATGTTCATGGGGGAAGGAGTCAGAGATCTCTGCCTGACGACCTGGTTGATGCTCCTCACGGTCTCAAAGACACGCTTCTGGTGACTAGGGAGAAGGCAGCACACTGTGAGCGAGCCAACGTGGGGACAGCCCCGGAGTTTCACCACCAGAACCATCCACTGAGGGGCCGAGAGGACACCTGGCCGTGTGCGTCCCTAGCAGCC